ATACTATATTTTAAAACCTCAATTTTACAACCACCAAAATATAAAACAACGGAAATGTGCTTTCTTTTTTTAATAAAAAGTCATTATTACTTCAACATAATGCGCAACATGCTCTGTATAACTTTTTGTTACATTGCAATTGTATTGCAGCGCTACAGTAGGCTATCAGCTCCTAACACTTTCACTAAGGTGTGATGCAATGACTTTCCTGCACTGAAATATCAGAAAAAACTGATTCCTGTTCATTTGTGAGGTGTAATCATCTGTCAAAAATTATATTACATCAATTCCCACCCCATGGTAATGGAGCAAAGACAATTTGAAGTGTAACAAAAAAATCTGCCATGCACCAATGGGCAAGTGTGACACTGAAGTACATGGGATGAGGTGTCAGATGAGATGAGCACCTCCCTTAGGACTACACTACGTGTGTGTGTGTGTGTGTGTGTGTGTGTGTGTGTGTGTGTGTGTGTGTGTGTGTGTGTGTGTGTGTGTGTGTGTGTGTGTGTGTGTGTGTGTGTGTGTGTGTGTGTGTGTGTGTGTGTGTGTGTGTGAGTGTGGGTGTGTGTGTGTTGGAGGCAGTTAGAGGAGGCAGCATTGCATTTGTCTGAAGGATATGCATTTTGTGTCTAACTCCAAGTTTTCTCTGGTGTGCTCACAGATCCTGTACAACCAGCAGAGCGTGGAAGTGCAGGGAAACCTGAAGAGGAAGCTGATCTCGCAGCTGCAGCCAGACACAGACTACTCCTTTGTGCTGACAAGCAGGGGCAACATTGCTGGGGGTCTGCAGCAGCAGGTGTCCATCCGCACTGCCCCTGACCTGATCAAGACCAAACCCAACCCACTTCAGGCTGAGGGTGGCAAGATGACCATCAACCTGCCAAAGGTCCAGACCACCACACGTGTCAGGTCAGTATTTAGAAACAAGACAGGCTGTGACACTGAACATGAATCAACTAATAGATCATCTCTGATTTTGGCCGGTAGACTGCATTTTTGGTAGACTTTTATTAATATAATGGAAAATGTAGCTGCATTTGTGTTATTGGCTGTTGCAGTGACCAAGCTTTCCATCACAAGCTACCTACACATATGAAATATTAAGAGTAGCCTTTATATGATATTGAGTTATTATCAAAAGCATTATCGGGTTTCATTTGAATTCCCCATTTCAGTTTCTTATTTTATCAATCAAAAAATATGGTGATATTCAAATAAGTAGCACTTTCACGTGAATTCTTGCAAATGTTCTTAAAAATAATCATCCAGCAGTTAAGTTACTGAATAACAAAACATTTTTTATTTTTTTTAAATAACTAAATAAGGAGGCAGTAAATGAACTAAGAACTTTACCTGAAAACTCCATCTGTATGGCTCATTTGTGGCCCCGGGCCGCTGAATGGCCACTTGGTGTTTTGTGAGTTTATTAAATGGGAGCTAATTCAATTTCAACTCTGAATGACCTTTCCTCCGGCAACATCAGCGCAAGTGGCACACTTTTTAATCAATACTAAACCTGTTTTGAAACTGAAAACGTCAACTTTTAATCTTATTCAACTTCCTGACAGCGGCTGATGATAATCGCGACTTTTTTTTTCAATCAGGTTGAGCTGTATTATCTTTTGACTCAAATTGTTAAGAGCACAATTGTGCCTGACCCGGACGAGTAAAGCCTTTCCTTCAAACACACACTTACAGACACATCTGAGTAGCAGAGTGCACAGGGTTGATTGGTAACAAGATTACAGGGCTGTCAGGGCTGGCCAAGCTCCAGCTCAGATTGACAAGCAAAGAGCACACGTGATTGGGGGTGAATAGTGGAGGTCTGGGTGTGCAGATGAGAAAGGGGTTGAGGAGTTCTACATGTCTTTTCCTACTCCCAGACTTGACTGACTGTTGAATCACAGAGTCGAGGCCTGGAGAGAAGGGGAGAGAAGCAGCTGCTTTCACTGTCAGCAGCTTCTGATTTTACAAGTGGTTGAATGCCGCAGTGGGGGAAAAGACTTTGAGCTGAGAAGACAGACTGGGGGAGAACACGAGGGAGAGCCGCCACATAAATACACGCACACACAGATGTCTGTACATTGAGTACTCACAAGCATGTTCCTTTATCCATTACCTCACTCCTTACTCTGACCCTAAATGTCCTTCTGATGTCTCTCTTCCCTTTTATTTTTGGTGCTTTTAATGACACAGTAAAATAACACACACGAGCGGTCACATAGCTGTTCCTATTAACCTAAGGGATCCTATGGGGATCTCTATTAGCTAAAGGCTCCTCCCCCTAGGAGAGTGTGTGTTCCACTCTACATGGCAGATGTTCTTAGTGATTAGACATTAATTGGAGAATGCAGTGACAATCTGCCGGTGTTCGACCTTGGTCGAACCCACTTGTGTACCACTCGAATTTTTTGAATGCAGCCCAGCAAGTCTCAAAGCGAAAGTACTGTGTGTCTTACTAAATGTTTTGATAGTGTTATTAATGCGCCTGGCAAGATTTGATCTCAGCGTGTATGTACTTCAGCCAGTCTGTCTTCACACAGGCTTTATTTTTCTTGGCAGGTGGTACTACATCGTGGTAATGCCTGTGTCCCCGTCAACGCGGCAGTGGGAGAATCCAGACGAGATGGACCTGGACGAGGTGAGTGCCAGCCGGTGGCTGATTGGCTAATGTGCCAGGTCAGAGGTCACCAATAGCTTCTCCTGTTCCAACTGGCTAGGAAGTCACTGGTTGTAGCTAATTAGCTCCACCCTCCTGGGCTCAGGCGGGGGGTGGCAAGGCAGAGAGGTTTGAGACAATGACTCACTCGGGCGGGTGGGGAGTGTCTTGATTGGATGCCAGGTCTGCAGACAATACCCATCTGCTGAATACAAGAGCATGAAATAAGTCTTAAAAATGTTTACAACTAAATGTTTCTAAACAGTAATAACAAACGACTGCTCTGGTTCCATATTTTCTTTATAGTCTTTATATTCAGGGATTAACAACTAAAACAAAGTCTTACATAAGGTATTCAGATGAGGATAAAGATTTATGACTGCTTTATTATTCTTTAATTTATTATTCTTTATTATGAATAAAGGTCTTCACGGGAGAATTCAAGATAAACGACATCCCTAAATATTAATAGCATCATTTTTAAGTAAACTGTGAGGCTCGGTGGTTTGGATCGCTACTGTTCAAGCAGCGCCAGAAGAAGTCCCTGAAGAAAATAGCAGAAGAGACCAAGAGACTCCCTAAGTCATTAAACATTGAGCAGTCCATTGTCTCCTCCCTCCGACATAATGATTTAATAAAGCTACATCTGGCGCAGCACATGAGACATCACTGACAGAAAACAAAATGCTGCTGGAAACACAATGCCGCAGTGCTGTATGCCCCTGCTCATTTATTAAGCAGGCTGGCAGTCATGCTGACATTGTGTGCTGGAGCAAGCGCTAATTGCTCACTTCGTAACTTGGCTGCATTGTTAGAGAAGTTATATCACAGAGCAAAGGGCACTTTAGCTGTGTGGATTCATTATATTTTATTTAGACGCATAGTAAAAACCAGACCTGACTGCAAAAGTGTTTTCTTTTTTCCAAGACTTTAGAGAAATTGAGAGAATTTAAAGGTGGGGTAGGTAAGTTTGAGAAACCGGCTCGAGATACGCTTTTTGTTATATTCCATGGAATGCTCTTAACATCCCGATAGCAATGAATATCTGAAGTGCTTTGACAAAAAATCCATAAAAAAATGTCACCTGTGGAAGCCGTAGCGCTGTAAAAAGCACGACCAATCATCTGAGCCGGCCCGGCTAAAGTAACTGGATGGCCTACCTGCCTGTCAGCCTTCCATCTGTGCACAAACTTATCTCGTGCCCTCATTGGTCATGTGCGCGTTCGTGTGTGTTGGAGGAGGGGCTCTGTAAGGAAGTGGCAGATTTTTTCCGGTTGTGTATTTTCAAATTCTAGCGCACTCCAGCTGGTTTCTCCAAAATGACCTACCCCACCTTTA